GCAGGCAGTGAAAAGCTGAACAGATTTCATCACAGTAGATGTCTTTGTGAGAGTTTTCATACAATTATGTTATTTTATTCAATGCTTTGTAGCCACACAGAGAAGAGCAGCTACCTGAAGGCAACAATAGTCGTTTATCTTACATTTACTTCCTTACTATATATGACTCTGGATACTGTAGCTCCTGTGAAAAAGAAAGCCTCAAATTTAGAAGTACTTGACTCCCTCGTATAAATCTCAACTTAAAACAGATAATTTGTGTACTGGAGAGGAAGTGGTGTCTCACTAATTTGGAAGATCATCATTTAGCCTGCAAAAGTAGTTTGCTGCTTTATTTATAAACAAACAAACAAACAAGTCATCAATAAAGTTAAAACATCTTACTGCACATCTTGGTTATAGAAAGATTTGAAGAAAATAAGAACAACCCTACGTTTTATGACTGTAGTCAGGCTGACAAAAAGTCAGCGCTCTCTTGAGCAACCATTTCTTTCATGGAGTTGTTCAGAAATAAAAGTACTATAGCTACTTTCAACACCACTGATATCTATTTAGACTATTTTTTTCTCCAAGTGATATTTTTGAGTTCAGTAATTTCAGCAATTACATCCTCCAAACCATCAATGCGTCATGTAGAGCCCATTCCTACAAGACTGCTCAAGACTACATCTGACACCAAGAAGATCTATAAGCTGACACTGATGGCCACAGTTGGTGTGTGGATTGTGTTATGTTTTAATTAAAATTTAGTGTTGTGTCCAGATTTTTATGAGGAGAATGAAAAGTTGTTATCTTATGCCAGTAAAACAATTACTCCAGAAATCTTTGGATGTGGTGTGAAATGTTGCTAAGAAAGAATGTAACCATTAACAAAAAAAGTAATAATACGGAGGCCTCATAGAGACACAGTTGTTGGTGCTGTTTGTGTGGAGTTGTTCGTTATGTTCAGCTCAAATCAACCTGAGTGTCATTTCTCTTTAGTTCTGATCTCACTGCTGAGCTGCACAACAAACCAAGGTCAGTAACCTTCTTCTGTCACAGTTTAAACCTGAGAAATGCTCACTGATATGACCTGATTGGGTTCATGGTTCACAATCTCACATATAAACTGATGAAATGAAGGATTCATTAGAGAATTATTGGATTTGTTATACTTTTGTCAAAACTGTTATATCTTTATTTATTTATTTATCTTCCAATGTATTTTTCTCATTGTAACCGTCACAGCTCGTCTGACTCTGAGTCCCAGCAGCTCTCAGTTCTTTAAAGGAGACTTTGTGTCTCTGAGCTGTGAGGAGGACGACAGCTCTGCTGGATGGACTCTGAGGAGAAACACAAGCAAACAACAGAGGAGTCAGTGTACAGATGGGTGGGGAAAACCAACTGGTTCCTCCTGCAACATCAGCTACACCACCACATGGGACAGTGGAGTTTACTGGTGTGAGTCCAGAGAGGGTCCCATCAGTAACATGGTTAACCTGACAGTCACTGGTAAGCTGAGTGTGTGGAGTTAGTGTTGATGAAGCTGTGTGTAAATGGATGAAATGCTGTAGTTTGTCTCTGTGTTGAGGTGGATCAGTGATCCTGCAGAGTCCTGTCCTCCCTGTGATGGAGGGAGATGACATCACTCTGCTCTGTAAAACAAAGACCACTCCCTCCAACCTCCCAGCTGCTTTCTATAAAGATGGCTCCCTCATCAGGAAGCAGCCTACAAGTCACATGACCATCCAGCATGTTTCCAGGTCTGATGAAGGCCTCTACAAGTGTGACATCAGCGGTCATGGAGAGTCTCCATCCAGCTGGATCACTGTCACAGGTGACACACTCACCTGTCTGTGTTTCTGCAGCTTTCAACATCCACAATGTGACGACAACTTAATGACTGTGTTTGCTTTATTTTAGGGGAACACACCACCACACCTCCACCTACATCCACACCTCCAACTACATCCACACCTCCACCTACATCCACCTCTCCTCCTGTTCTAGCTGTGCTTTCATGTGTTGGATCAGTCTGTGTTGTGGTTCTACTGGTGTTGCTGGTTCTGCTGGTGAGACGATGTGTTCACAGGAAACTTGAAGGTGAAACTCAGAAAATTGCATTTCAGATGTGTGTGGTTTTCCTTCAGGAAATAATCTTGGCAGTTATTAAATTTGTTTTGTATTTATACTGAAAGTAACTCCTGTTTGTTACATATTACAAATATAGAATTTCTTTGATTAACAGTTCAATTACGGAATTTGTCCAGACTTATTTTGCCGTTAAATTTTGATCATTTCAGCTCAACAAGAAAAAGCTCGAGAAGAATGCATCGCAGATGACATCACGTACAGTTATGTTAAACAATCCAAACAGACAACCAAACATAACAGAGGTATTGTTTTTTTCCTCTTTTTGATGAATTGTTTGAAATATATTTTTATTAAATGAAAACACTAACATGGAGATAAAATCCTAGAATTTTACCCATGAAAACTGGAACATAAACTACTTGGATCAACAGCAGCAATATTGCTGGTCAGGTGATTGCATTACAAAATATTAAAAAGCTCCAACTGTACAATTACGGTTCAGATTTCTAGTTCAATGACTCCAATTAGTTGAGGTGAAGCACAACAGACAGCTAAGAGCTATAGCTCTAATGATGCAGACTTTCAGCTTTAATAAAATTTTAACAGCCGTAGTTTTAAACCTCCATACCCTGTTCAGTTGTTATGAAAAAGTAAATCTAAAAAAACATAAACCAAAACAGTTTTTGTCACAATCCGTGAACATTTTTATTCCAATTTTATTTTATTTACCGAAATTACAACAATAGTCGCCTAAATTTGCTTTATATTGTAAGGTAGACCCCACAATGATACATACAGAGAAAAACCCAACAATCATATGAGCGTGGGAAGGAGAAACTCCCTTTTAACAGGAAGAAACCAAAAGACATGCTGTGGAAGAGAGCCAGAGATTAATAACACGTATGATTCAGTGTAGAGAGGTCTAACTTCTGTTTCTTACAACTATTTCTGTTGTAAAGTTGGACATTTTAACACATCTATGGAGACATTCTCACTGTTACAGCCATCCTCAACTGGACATTTGTTGAACTGCGGTTTTGGCATTTTGTCTTCATTCTACTGGAATTGAGGGTGTGATATCATGTAATTTGACTCTGCTGTAGTATAGTATATAGTATATCCTATTTTAAAGCAAATTCCCCAACTGAAGATTTTAGACATGCCGTTTTTATGTCTTATTGAAAATAAAGGTTTGTCTCTGTATTTGTATAGACAGGAGCTTCAAAACACACCCTATATTAAACTGATGAGGTAGCAAAACACAAATCCAAATGGGAAAGTCCAAACAGAAAATAACTAAAGCTCACTGGAGTTAGGACACTTAGAACAGGAACTTAAACATGGACAGAAACAGTACAGCAGTAACAGAATGATCGTAACAGTGTGATATGGCAATGACAAGAGGGAAGAGAGCACTATAAATACACAAAAAAGAGAAGCAAAACTGAAGACAACACATACAAGATATAGGTTTGCAAATAAAACAGGAAACTGAGCCTAAGATGCAAAAAAAATGACTCAAACCTACACACTAGACACAGAACAACAGATTGATTAAAAAGATTAACTAACACCATTTAATTAGCTAAGAACTAGAAACACAGATAACAAAAAACTCAGAGACACTAGGAAATATTAAATTATACTCCAAAGATTAAATACTAAAATAGTTAAAGAACATAATTTCCTTCACAAAGCCAAAAATAAATATTGAACCCACAAAAATTCTAAACCCAAGGATAATGACCCGTGGACCCCAAGAGCTTGTAAGAAGACTTTGGTCAAACTTCACAATGCAGCAACATTTTTGGAATGTGTTTAAGGATACAATGTTCTCTGATCTGAACCTCTCCAAGAGTTTCACTTCATGTTTCTTTGCTGCTGATTGTTTCTGACTGTGATTAACAATGATTCATATAAGGGATGAGAACTTTATGAAGCATGTGAGAGATGGTCAGAGGTAGAATAATGTGTATAGTTGTGATAAGAAAACAAACATCTTACTGATTTGAAATTTGGAATTACCTTTTTACAATTATATTGAAATTTACATTCAAGTTTTTTAAATGTATTTATTTTCTTTGTCTAAATCTAAAAGGTTCCAAGGTTGTTGTTGTGTGTGCTAGATTGTGTACTTGTGGTCTGTGGTTGACTGAAGCTAACAGCTCTGCAATCATCCAGCATCCTGTATAAGGTGAAAAAGAAGGTTTAACAAAAAGGGTGCAGGTGTTGCATCACTTTAGATGGTGTTAGATTTAGTTGTTGAATTTAAAAAACAGAATAAGAAATGATTAACAATTGGATTAAGTCAAATTACTCAAATTGTTGTAAAAGTAATTTGTACTCTTAACTTTTGTTGTTTGAATAGAAAAAGTAAATTTTTTGTAGTGAAGATTTCTACAGTATTTGTATTTAAATGATCAGCTTTGCTATCAGCTGTTCTGCACTGATGTTCTCTTTGTGTTTCTTATTGTGCAGAATCTGATCCAGCTGCAGTTTATTCAACTGTGAAAATTGAAGATGTCAGTTATGGACAAATGATCATCAAAGAGAAGAAAAACAGATCAAAGACGAGAGGTACAGCTGCTCTTCTTTGTCTCCATCATGGTTCTCTTCTGTGGACAGGAACTGAAGCTTTGAGTTAATCTATATGCTAACATAAGAATGCTAATGTACTGATGGTCAGAAGGTCTGTTAATTATATCAAAAATGTTAAGTAGCAAGCTAATATTTACTAATTGGCAAACAGCAGATGGAAATATTGAGTCCTATAATGTTTTTTGGTTTGGTTAGTCACCTGGAGTTTAGAAATTACAATTAGCCAGCTAATCATTTTACGCACCCAAGATAATAAATTGTTCCCACAAGGTAACAAATCACCCTGGCAGTCTGTCCAGGATGTATCCCGCCTCTTGCCTTATGACAGTTGTGATAAGTTCAAAAAATACCTTTGAGAAAACAACAAGGTCCATTGTTGTTACCATCAGTGTGAGAGGCAGCTTAAAATAAATCAGCGATATTTAGAAAATATGTGTCTGGGCAGCTGACGTGATTCATCGTTGTGCAAAATAAAATTTCCAATTCCAACTTTAACCATGGAAGGTTAACAATTTGTGAACTAACTTCAAAGCAATCCTGCTGAACTTGGAGGTCTATAAGTTAAAACACAACAAAATGCATTAGACATCCACCTAAAAGAATGAACCAATGTTTAACTCATAGAATTCAAAGCATTCTGTGATAACAAACTAACAGGTAAACAATGTATTGTGGACAATCAGCAGCCTGATTGTCCACAATACATCGTTTGTATCAGAGGCTGATACATGGGTAATAAAATTTCAAGCACACTGTAGAGGAACATTTCATTTAAATGGAAAAGTTCAATTTTCCATTACCAGGATTCTTTCAGGGACAAGAAAGCTAGTCTTCTCTTTTTAACAAGTATTTGTGTCTTGTTCACCCCGGATATAATTTTTTTCAGGCACACTTTAATACCTCATGTTTTCATGCTATTCTGGTCTGTCAAATGCAAACAAACAGAATTCATACAACACTGCTAATAAAAAATAGAAATATTTAAAAACTTCACCAGAACACCCAACATCTATATCCAAAGTCAAGACCTGGAAGCAGAGCTGACATGCCTCTCTGCAGCTTTCAAATCCTGTCATCATAAAAAAAATCCATCTCCACAAAAACCGTGTCAACTCTCAGAGCACCAAAAATAATTTCCTGAAAATGAGGAATAAACTATCTAAGCATTGTGGATTCATATATGAAACAGTTTTGTTAGTGCCACAATTGGCCTTAACTTAATAGCCTATGCTCAGGTCCACCTTAAATAGATCAGATTTGAGGTAGGTTGTAATGGTTGGCAGTGCCGTAACTGAACATTTCTTGATGCATGCTCAATCATCCAGGTAAGTAAATCCTAAAAGGTTGATTCTGTTCATCTGGACATAACGTTTTGTGGGAGAAACGTTTCGTCACTCATCCAAGTGAATTCTTTAGTCATGATCAAGGAACTGACCTCCCAGCCCAATGTTCATTCAGTGGGCTAGGTTACATTATTGTACAAATGTACTGTTTATGAGTCACTTGGATAAGTGACGAAACATTTCTCCAATCGAAAATGCTACGTCCAGATGAACAGAATCAACCTTTTAGGCATAACTGAACATGTGAGTAAAATGCCCAGATGTGCTTGCTGTCTTGTTTAGGCACAAACATAAGTTGTTAGCATTGTGAACGTGTTGTTAGAATAAAATGTCTGAAGAAACAGACTGAAGAGACCAAATGTCCTTTAAAGCAATGAAGCAAGTTCTGCATGTTTAACCACAGCATCTACTTCCTGTTGATGTTTCTAGCCTGAAGCTGAAGGGACTTTTCACCACAGTGAGTTCTGGTTTGTCCAATGGCAGTGTTCATGCTGTGAGAACTTGTTTGTTTGGTGCTCTGTGGTGAAGTGTGTCAGACTGCACTGAGATGAAGGTGCAATCTCTGTGGTTGTGCATCTTGTTTTTCACACAAACACCTACAAGTTCAATGCAATCAATTCTTGTTTCTCAGCATAGGTGTAAAGAAGAAAAAAAAAACTGTGAAAACCTGAAGCTAGTTGCAGAAGATATAACTTAATCTCTGCATGATCAAACTATATAAACATACTATTGTACCTTAAATATAATTTTTGTATATCTGTGTGGGGGTTTTTCCTGCAGAGACTGACACAGCTGTAGTCTATTCAGCAGTGAGAACTGAAGACATCAATTATGGACAAATAGCTGTTACACCAAAAAGGAAAAGAGGTACTCTTTATGTTCTTGTCTTCAAGCTAAGCTAAGCTAAGCTAAGCTAAGCTAACCAAATCATTTCTCAAACTCAGGATATCAAACAGTTTTATCATCATTTGAGGAAGAAAAATGTTTTTTACTACTCATTTAAAGTATAAAACAGAATGTACAGTGGGGAAAATATTTATTTGATTCTCTGTTAAATTTGTAAGTTTGCGCACTTACAACTAAATAAAGTCTATGTTTTTAATGTTTTCATTGTAACGGAGAGAGACATAATATTGTCCCGAATTCTAAATATTGAGGACAAACCAACACTGGCCCAGAAGAGTTCAGTCAAACAATGATTTTATTGAACACACGCGTGGGAAGATGTACACTGCAACACATCAGCGTAGATCTTCGCCCAAAAATACACTTCAGAATGCTTTTAATATATCAGGGCTCCACCCCTTCATGCGTCAGACAAGAATATGACATCAGTTACAGTAAATGATCAACTTAAAAGCTAAAAACACACAGAGAAGTTCCTCTTTCTATCACATTCTTCCTACATGGCAACCAAAAATAATAAAAGAATAGACAAATTAATATTAAAGTTATAGATGGATTTGCATGTCATTGAAGGAAATAAGTATTAGATCCCAATCAAAACGTGATTTAGCACTTGGTGGAGAAATCCTTGTTGGGAAGGGCAATTAGTTGTTATAAGTCACCAGGTTTGCACACATCTCAGGAGGGACTTTGACCCACTCATCTTTGCTGAAACCCTCTAAATCCTTTAGTTTTCTTGGCTTCACCTCAAAACATCAGCTCCCTCATCAGATTTTTAATAGGACTGAGCTAGGCCACACCATGACCTTTTGCAATGCCTTTTTTGCCTTTCTTGTTTGTTTTGGGTAACTGAAACGTTGGAAAACCGATGCTGACCGACCTTCAGTGTTCTGGCTGAAGATCGGTCAGGCATAGAGATTCTCTTTCTAGGTTCTCTTCGCTTCCAAGATATTGCTCTAGAGGGTAGCATCCATTGACGTTGTTCTGTATCCTTAGCAGAAACACAGGCCCAAATCGTAATGCTACCACCTCCATGGTGTTCTTTGGATCATACTCAGCATTTCTCTTCCTCCAAACACAGAAACTTGAGTTAATGCCAAAAAGTTGATTTTGGTTATTTCTTCTTTCGGTGTTCACTGGTAAACTTAAGACAGCCTAAACATCGGCCTTTTTGAGCAGGGGAACCATGTGGATTGTGAAAAAGTTAAATACATCCTGGTGTAATGTGTTACCAGTGTTGTTCTTGGTGACTGTGGTCCTAACTGCCTTCAGATCATTAACAAGCTACTCCTGTGTGGTTTTGGGCTGATCCACTGTCTTTCTCATGATCATCTTCACCCTGGGAAGCAAGAAAAACATGGGACTCCAAACAGAACGTGATTGATGGTCATTACGTTTAACTTTGAGTCTTGCAAAGCTGCTCTGGAAATAAGCATAATATGCAATAAGAAGAGTTTGGAGATTGTGTATCTATTATCCTGTCCTGTAGAGTGAAAGACAGACAGTTTCCCATCCAATCATACCATAAATTACAGCCAAACTTAAAGCCAATAACAGTGTGTCTCTATCAATATACTTCCTTTGGAGCATTAGCTGTAGTAAGCCATATACACTATGTGCTTACTAACTATTGCATTTCCATATTATGACAGTTTAACACTAACTGCCTACAATAAATGCATGTGCATGTTCTTTTAAATCTATCTGCAGCTTTTGATCCAGTAGAAGCGTTTTTTTTCTCAACATCTGTAGCTCACGGTAGCTGAGGTTAAATTTTAGGTCCTAGTTTTTTTTTCAGTTTGAAATTTACTGGGTCAGAATTTACACACCCACGCCTCACTTCCCTGCTACACAACCACTGTGCACTACTGCTCACCTTTACTCTCTGAAACCTCACAGCTCTCTCACCCAGTGAACATCCCACGTAGACAGAGAGTCAATGCTGTTTCTGTGCCGGCAGAACAAAACAACTAATCGGTCCAATGTTTTCATGAAATATTTTGCTAGACCCATCAATCTGCCCATTTTCTTAGCTGCTTATCTAAATTAGTCACATGGGGAGCTGGAGCTTACCCAAAATGGGTTGTATCCTCATGAGGTATACCCTGGAGAGGTATCCAGTCTATCACACGCTGTCTTTGTATGAAATGTGGCTAAATCTTGCAGCAAAGCCACAATTCACAGATAAGACAACAACTAAATATGTACCCAAGTTTATCAAAACAACATCCAGTAGTGAACAGAAACAATATTTCATGCTTCCTGTTTTTATGGATTGCTGTTTGTCTGAAAAATATTCTGTGAGAAGCTGGAAGCAGCAAAAGATTTGACTTTTAACGTCACTGAATGTTTTTGATGCAAACGTTTCAGCTTCGTGGGTTGCAGATTTGACTGGTGTGAATTTCAGAAAGTAGCTACAGCGTGGGCGGTACAGAAGCTCTGTGATTTGTGTCTGAGGTGGTTCTCAGTAAAATTTGAACTGTGTGACGCAGAGAGATGGAAATTAAAGTTTTGGTTGAACTGCAAAGCTTGTAATCATATTTCATGATGTTTGAACTGTGTGTGTTTGTGTTCAGACTTTAAACCAGAGCCAGACGTCGTCTACTCCTTACTGAAGTAGTCCACCAGTCCAACCACTGACGTCCAGCTGCTGGTCTCCAACTGGTCCCTCCAGCACCTCAGACCAGAGGACATCCACATGTTCAAAATATTTTTATATGTTTGACATCTTTTTCTTGTTAATTTAGACAAATGTGATTTAAAAATCAATTCTTAAATTTCAACTTGAGTTTAAGTGTATTTTCATGCAAAATCAACAGCAAAATTATAAATATATTCATATGTTTTATGTTCTCAGTAACTTTTCTGTTGTATATATTATTTATGGTTTTCTG